TCGTCCTCCAAACAAAGATCCAAAAGTGATTCTATGCACCCGCCAAACCCCAGCTGTTTATGAATGAAAAACGGTTTACACACGACTCACAACTGATGACGTTCGAACACATCCGGAACAAGTGCTTCACTGACGACTTTTGTTCGAACCACAACGCTGTAAATGCTTCACCCGCGTACTACAAATACAAATAACAGCCAACAGAACCTAAGCACCTAACTTAACCTAACTTATGCCTGTATATGCAAAATATGCTATTATAATATTGATTTATATTTGAGAAAATTCCTGTATTGAATGAACAGCATGTAAAGATTTATGAATGCGTCTGTGGGGTCGACCGCTGTATGGAATGGACTTGAGTCGAGGACGGGTTGGGGCTGCCATGCAAAAGCGTGAATGCAGATAGGTGTGTGTGTGTGTGTATGTGTGTGTGTGTGTGTGTGTGTGTGTGTGTGTGTGTGTGTGTGTGTGTGTGTGTGTGTGTGTGTGTGTGTGTGTGTATTCACCTAGTTGTGCTTGCGGGGGTAAAGCTCTGCTCTTTCGGCCCGCCTCTTAACTGTTAATCAACGTATTTTTTTTTTTTTTTTTTCACACACACACACACACACACACACACACACACACACACACACACACACACACACACACACACACACACACGCATGCACACACACACACACACACACACACACACACACACGCATGCACACACACACACACATACGACACTGGAAGACAGAAGAGTAAGGGGAGACATGATCACAACCTACAAAATCCTCAGAGGAATCGACCGGGTAAACAAGGATAAACTATTCAACACTGGTGGGACGCGAACAAGGGGACACAGGTGGAAACCGAGTACCCACATGAGCCACAGAGACGTTAGAAGGAACTTTTTCAGTGTCAGAGTAGTTAACGGATGGAATGCATTAAGCAGTGATGTTGTGGAGGCTGACTCCATACACAGTTTTAAATGTAGATATGATAGAGCCCAGTAGGCTCAGGAATCTGTACACCAGTTGATTGACAGTTGAGAGGCGGGACCAAAGAGCCAAAGCTCAACCTCCGCAAGCACAAATAGGTGAGTACACAAATGCAAAAATGCATTTGCAAAAATTGCAAAAATAAAAATGCAAAAAATGCAAAAATTATGAGGAGGATTGAAACAGAGGATGATAGTAGGAGGCTACAAGATGACCTAGACAGACTGAGTGAATGGTCCAACAAATGGCTGTTGAAGTTCAACCCGAGTAAATGCAAAGTAATGAAACTAGGCAGTGGAAACAGGAGGCCAGACACAGGATACAGAATAGGCGATGAAGTACTTAATGAAACAGACAGAGAGAAAGATCTAGGAGTTGATATCACACCAAACCTGTCTCCTGAAGCCCACATAAAGAGAATAACGTCTGCGGCATATGCGAGGCTGGCTAACATCAGAACAGCGTTCAGGAACCTGTGTAAGGAATCATTCAGAATCTTGTACACCACATATGTAAGACCAATCCTGGAGTATGCGGCCCCAGCATGGAGCCCGTACCTTGTCAAGCACAAGACGAAGCTGGAAAAAGTCCAAAGGTATGCTACTAGACTAGTCCCAGAACTAAGAGGCATGCGTTATGAGGAAAGGCTGCGGGAAATGCACCTTACGACACTGGAAGACAGAAGAGTAAAGGTGGATATGATCACAACCTACAAAATCCTCAGGGGAATCGACCGAGTAAACAAGGATGAACTATTCAACACTGGCAGGACGCGAACAAGGGGACACAGGTGGAAGCTGAGTATCCAAATGAGCCACAGAGACATTAGAAAGAACTTTTTCAGTGTCAGAGTAGTTAGTAAATGGAATGCACTAGGAAGTGATGTGGTGGAGGCTGACTCCATACACAGTTTCAAATGTAGATATGACAGAGCCCAATAGGCTCAGGAATCTGTACACCAGTTGATTGACAGTTGAGAGGCGGGACCAAAGAGCCAGAGCTCAACCCCCGCAAACACAACTAGGTGAGTACACACACACACACGCACACACACACACAAACACACAAACACACAAACTCACACACACACACAAACTCACACACACACACACACACACACACACACACACACACACACACACACACACACACACACACACACACACACACACACACACACACACACACACACACACACACACACACACACACACACACACACACACACACATACACACACACATACACACACATACACACACACACACACACACACACACACACACACACACACACACACACACACACACACACACACACACACACACACACACACACACTCAGGATGCAGCCATTAGCAGCAGTCTATCTCCCAGGTACTTATTTACTTCTAGGTGAACAGAGGCATCATGCTAAAAAAGCTCAACTTATTTGTTTCTACCGCGACCAGAAATCGAACCCCGGCCTTTAGGTATACGACCCCAGAACGCTGTCCGCTCTGCTGCGAGGGCATATGTGTATGTGTACTTACCTATTTGTGCCTGAAAGATCGAGCTCTAGCTATTGGACCCCGATTTTCTAGCCGCTGGTTGTTTAATGCAATGACTCCTGACCAATTTCTCTATCATGCCTGCTTTTAAAGCTGTGAAATGAGTTTGCCTCTTTTAAACTGCTCCTTTAAGTCATTCCATTTACTCACTACACTTATGTCAAAAGAAAAGTTTATAACCTCTCTATGACACATCTGAGTCTCAAGCTTCATCAGTGCCCCCTATTTCTATTGGTATTCATGGTAAACATTTCCTCTTTTTCCACCCCGTGAATTCCTCCAAATATTTTATATGTCGGTATTATGTCCTCTCCCTCCTTTCTAGCATTGTCAGGTTTAGTTCCTTCAGTCTCTCTTCATGCCTCATCTCTTGCAACTCTGGGATGAGTCTTGTTGCAAACTTCTGCACCTTTTGGGCTTCCTTATGTGTTTTTAAATGGGAGCTCTACGATGGGGCGGCATACTCACATAGGCCGTACACAGGGATCTAAAAGCCTTCTTATTTAAATTTCTGAAAAATGTTCTGACTTTTGCTAGCGTAGAGCATGCAGCTGAAGTTATTCTATTTATTTGAGTCTCTGGCGTTAGATTTGATGTTATGTCCGCTTTCAGGTATTTTTCTCTAGTATTTATAGGTAGGTAGTTTCCTTTCATCGTGTATTGTTCTCTTGACTCCTGAGCCCATTTCCATCACCTTACATTTGCTGGTGTTGAACTCTAGCATTCATTTCTTGGACCAGCTCTACAACTTGTTAAAGTCATCTTGGAGAATCTTACAATCCTCAACCCTTATCGTTAGTTTCGCATTGTGTGTAGACATGACATCCTTTTGGTGCCCTGCTTGATACTATATGCCAGCCCGACTTCTCGCCTTTTCACTGTCATTCTCTGACTCCTGTCCTTTAGGTAACTCCATGCCCATTAGTGCTTTCCGCTGAGTGCCTCTTGAGTTTGTATAGTAACATCATATGTGGTACTGTGAGTGAGTGAGTGTGCACTCGCCTGTGTACATTCTTATAAGATAGGAGGTCTGTGAGAATTATCGGAGGGGTGCCAGTGTTGACCCAAGCCGGTTGTGAGAGCTGCCAACCTTCACGTTGTGGAGAGGTCAATACACTCTTAAGCCGCTTATATACACGTCAGTATAACGGGAGTCATGAAGAAGCACGTCCATAGTGTATTGATTCAGAGCCACGGTGCTGTTGTTGGTGGCTTCAGGTTCAAGAGTTTAAACTCCACACATCTGATCACAAATCTAGATTAACAATGTTGAATCAATATGCGAAAATTATTCCTTTAATTGGATTTGATTCGTGACTATGAACATATAATGAAATTCACCGAGGACTATACATGTCTGTAAATTATATGATGTAATGATCCAGATGATGACCTGAAGGTGTGTTCGGGGTGTATTGATCCCTCACGCCTCTATTGCCTCTCGTATGCGTGTTTGCCTATATGTCTGTTCGTACCCATTTAAACTTACCTGTTTCTGTTTGTAAAGACTGAGCTCTAGCTCTTGGGCCTCACTTTGCTGCAGTCGGTTGTCTGGTGCACCGATATCCGACCCATTTGTTCTCTACACATGTTTGAAACTGTAGATGGAGTTAGTTCCAAATGTTTTCTCAACATCTCTCCCATTATTATTGTTCGCTGGTCATATTCTGAAGAAGCACTTCTTTCTGTCACTCATATTTGCTACCAATTTGTAATTATATCATCTTCATTCCTAACTTGCTTTTTGTGTGTCTTGTGAACAGGTCTCCTCTGGTTCTTCTTTCTTCCAATGTTGTTCAAGTGTAAATATGTTCCAAGTTCGCTTTAGTGAGTTGACCATCTTTTGAACACATGCACACTAGAGCAACCCTGGAACATATGTGCACTAGCGCACCAATAGCATATGGAAACACCAGAGAGAGAAAGAGAGTCGGCGTTGGTACTGTGTAAGTTAGTGTGGGGTGGAGGTGGGGAGGAACAGTAAGATAAAAGGTGGGAGCGTAGTAGTGGGGGTGAGGACAGTGCTGCAGGTGAGGGTCATTAGCAAGCGTTCACTCACGTTTATACCCAGCCATTACTAATATTATCACGGATGTCACTCCTTCACTACACTGTCTACCTCGCCTCCTCTGTCATGCTGTCAACCTCACATACTGAGCTCTGATGTGCTTCACTGAAATGTTGATACTGCCAATGTACTATCTACTCTAATATGACTTGTTTTGGACTCCCAACCTTGCTATTCCATCTGCTCCCACCCTACTCTTCCACCCACGCTCCCCATCTCTTCCACTCACACTCCCCATCTCTTCCATCCACGCTCCCCAACTCTTCCACCCACGCTCCCCATCTCTTCCATCCACACTCCCCATCTCTTCCACCCACGCTCCCCATCTCTTCCACTCCCACTCCTCGTCTTTTCCATCCCATAGTAATCTTTGTTACCCTCTATAGTATAGTGGGGGTTAATTATGCCTGGTAAATTCTAACTGGTTAAAGAGTGCAAATTGTTTGCGGAGCCCAATGCCTGGCGTGGGGTGGTAGTCGGTGGGTGGCGTGGGGTGGTAGTCGGTGGGTGGCGTGGGGAGGTAGTCGGTGGGTGGCGTGGGGAGGTAGTCGGTGGGTGGCGTGGGGAGGTAGTCGGTGGGTGGCGTGGGGAGGTAGTCGGTGGGTGGCGTGGGGAGGTAGTCGGTGGGTGGCGTGGGGAGGTAGTCGGTGGGTGGCGTGGGGAGGTAGTCGGTGGGTGGCGTGGGGAGGTAGTCGGTGGGTGGCGTGGGGAGGTAGTCGGTGGCTGGCGTGGGGAGGTAGTCGAGGCCGGCGTGGGGAGGTAGTCGGTGGGTGGCGTGGGGAGGTAGTCGGTGGGTGGCGTGGGGAGGTAGTCGGTGGGTGGCGTGGGGAGGTAGTCGAGGCCGGCGTGGGGTGGTAGTCGGTGGGTGGCGTGGGGAGGTAGTCGGTGGGTGGCGTGGGGAGGTAGTCGGTGGGTGGCGTGGGGTGGTAGTCGGTGGGTGGCGTGGGGAGGTAGTCGGTGGCTGGCGTGGGGTGGTAGTCGGTGGGTGGCGTGGGGTGGTAGTCGGTGGGTGGCGTGGGGAGGTAGTCGGTGGCTGGCGTGGGGAGGTAGTCGGTGGGTGGCGTGGGGAGGTAGTCGGTGGGTGGCGTGGGGTGGTAGTCGGTGGGTGGCGTGGGGAGGTAGTCGGTGGGTGGCGTGGGGAGGTAGTCGGTGGGTGGCGTGGGGAGGTAGTCGGTGGGTGGCGTGGGGAGGTAGTCGGTGGGTGGCGTGGGGAGGTAGTCGAGGCCGGCGTGGGGAGGTAGTCGGTGGGTGGCGTGGGGAGGTAGTCGGTGGGTGGCGTGGGGTGGTAGTCGGTGGGTGGCGTGGGGTGGTAGTCGGTGGGTGGCGTGGGGAGGTAGTCGGTGGGTGGCGTGGGGAGGTAGTCGGTGGGTGGCGTGGGGAGGTAGTCGAGGCCGGCGTGGGGAGGTAGTCGGTGGGTGGCGTGGGGTGGTAGTCGGCGTGGGAGGGTGGCGTGGGGAGGTAGTCGGTGGGTGGCGTGGGGGGTAGGTAGTCGGTGGGTGGCGTGGGGTGGTAGTCGGTGGGTGGCGTGGGGTGGTAGTCGGTGGCTGGCGTGGGGAGGTAGTCGGTGGGTGGCGTGGGGTGGTAGTCGGTGGGTGGCGTGGGGAGGTAGTCGGTGGGTGGCGTGGGAAGGTAGTCGAGGCTGGATGATTCGTCTCCGTCCCTGACGACCAGTAATGACCGCACTCAGACGACGGCCAGTAATTATGCAGGAGACTTCATAACAGTTTGTGGATCAATGTGTGGGAGAAGCCCCGCTGGTGAGAGTGATGGCTCGTGCTGACTATCTAATGGCAGGGTTGGCTACTTGTTTGAGTTGTGTTGTGGTGTTTAATAACATGTCCTGTTACAGTCTCCCCCCCCACCCCCCCCACCCTTTTATTTTTACTGTGGTACTGTGCAAGGGGGTATTGTTTGTCCTATTTGCAGATTACCTGGTTTATTTTGTTTATTAATTTCAATCTTTCATGGGATTTTTTTTCCCATATGTTTCGTCCGTGTGTGACCATTCTCTTCTCCAGCCCCCCCCCCCCACACCTCCCCCCTCCCCCCCTCCCACCACATACACATCAGGTTATTCCCTTTGTTTGTCTTTAATTATCTTTGTTTATTTTATAAAACAGTTTCTGGACTGTTTAATTTACAGAGGATATAACTTCCATAGACAATATTGTGTTTATATGTATTGTCTTGGTGTGGTGGCTGGGTTGTTGGTTCAGTGGTGAGGCGTCTTATGTGGTCAGCTAGTCTACCTGGAAGGCTTTCTCCAGAAAGCTTCTTTCTGTTCATCTTAATATGTCTCGTATCTTTCCAGTATCTCTCTAGTTTTTCTATTTACTCATTTTAACTCTTAGTCATCAATCCTGCACATTAAACGCCATAAAGTGTATGGCTCAGTTGTGCCAATAATCCCCCTTGGAAAGATGTCCATTATACATGTGGGTTAAGTGTCTATACATTATACTTCCATCAGTGTAAAGCAAATCTATAACACTGGAACTATGAGATGTATAATACTAGAGGTATTGACAGTCATCTTTAAAATCGCAAACCAACTGAATTGTGCCTATACTGATTGTTCTGTGCAGTTGGACGCAGACACTCCCAAGACATACGTCTTGGTAGTGTCTGCGTCCAACATACGTCTGACGTCTTGGGAGTGTCAACGTCTAGCGTACACTGGACATTTTGTTAGTGTCATGTAGAGTGAATGTGCCACGCCCCCTAGAGAAGACGACGTTCATCATACACAGAACGCTTCTGATGGGTCGCATCAACTGGGACTGCACCAAGGTAGGCCTCATAGCCCTGCGTGAAAACCGATCACTTTCTGTGATGGCGGTTCTGGTGGGTAAAGGGAGTCCTTTCCCACCAAGAACGCTGGACCGCAAGATAAGGACCCAGGCTTAACGGACCTCCATTTGCTGTAGGGATGTTCAGCGTAGAGGTGGAGGAAGGGAGGGGTGGGGGACCGGAAGGATTGGGGAGGGGGGTTGTAAAGAGGGTTAATATCGAAGAGTAAAGCTAAGATAGTTTCTTCAAGGCAGATTATGAGGGGTAGAGTAAGAGGGGCACTTAAAGAAGCAGAGGTGGGCATAGAGGGGGGGGGGGTAGAAGTGGATAAGGAGGGGGGGGGTAGAAGTGGATAAGGAGGGGGGGGTATTGGGGGGTAAGGAAGGCCGTGAGCTTCGTGTTAGGGAAGAGAGAGGGAAAGAGATAAGAGAGTGGTCGACGTCAATCACTCGCTTACCATTCATTTGGTGAAGTTGGGAAGCCCTTATTATTATTATTAACATCTTTATTGACAAAATTAATTACAATTTTGCCTAATCTGAGGATTTTTATAATCTTATTAAAGTGAGGATAATGCTGGCATTCACTGTCACGCAGGACAGGGGGTCATACATAATGGGAACCCTGCTGGTATTGGTACTCGAGCCTCCACTGAGGTGTTGGTACTCCACGACCATAGTGCACTTATGGACTCTGCAACTTGGTAGATATGGCAATACTGCCAGGGGCAGTGTTGCCAGTTGGTGGTGGTGGTCTGCTGAAGGTCAGTTACAAAGGTGGTAACAAGCACACGCTTTTGAATCACACACTAACGTGTTTAACCCTCCGGGTTCTAATATGTAATCATTAATACCAACTGTAATAATACATAAGAAAAGTATGTATACGAAATTTAATGCAGTGGGCAAAAATAAGCTTTGGAAATTATGGGAATATATCTACAAATGAAGGACAGGAGGTTATGTGACGGGAAATGGGAGTTTTGTAGGATTGTTCACTTATTTTAAGTTAAACAGTATAAACTGAACGCTTTTCACATAGTAATTAATGCTTAATAAAAACAGTGTGCATAAGGTACATATATCTATATCAAAATTTACAATGTCATTGGTATAATGCAGTAGTTAGCGCATTCGACTGACAACGTATTGGACCCGTGTTCGATTCCCGGAAGGAGCGATACGCTTGAGCCCGTTTCCGTACACCTGATACATCAGTTCCCGGGAATTTAAGGAACTGTTGTGGGTTGCATCCCGTGGAAGGTCAGTACTTGGCCAAATAGGATTCTTGTCCCCGACACTGGGACTTGTGTTAAGCGTATATTCCCAAACAGTTCTCTGTCGACTGCAGCGATAGTCCTACAGCGGCTCACGTGACCTTACAACCCATCACTTGACGCAGCTTGTACACTAGTCTACACTAGTGTACACTAGTGTACACTACAGTCTAGTCTACACTAGTGTACACTAGTGTACACGTATACTAGTGTACAGTGTATACTAGTGTACACTAGTATACTAGTATACTAGTGTACAGTGTATACTAGTGTACACTAGTGTACAAGCAGCGTAAACTGAGATGGAATTCAAAGGTGCACTGAGAGGCATGTCAGGAAAGGCAGTGAAGAGATACATTGAGTGACAATAAAGACATACACTGAGTGACAATGAAGAGATACATTGAGTGACACTAAAGATATACACTGAGTGACAATAAAGACATACACTGAGTGACAATGAAGAGATGCATTGAGTGACACTAAAGAGATACACTGAGTGACAATAAAGACATACACTGAGTGACAATGAAGAGACACATTGAGTGACAATAAAGAGATACACTGAGTGACAATGAAGAGACACTGAGTGACAATGAAGAGATACACTGAGTGACAATGAAGAGATACACTGAGAGTGAAAAGATAAATTGAGAGTGAAGAGATAGAGTGTGAGAGACCAGGGGTGAGACCTCCTGGCACCGCCCCGCGTCCATTACACCAGGGAGACCAACAACAGTGTCTCATCACTCCCCCCCCCCCACCCCCCTCTCCACAGTCGGCTTTTGGATCTATCACTATTTCTTCTTTGAAACTTCGAAGCTTCATTCAAGATCCATCTGTGAAGTTATGTTACGAACTGAAGCTCATGGGGTTCCTTTGCTTCTTGTGTGTTACGGAGTGCAAGACTTTGCCTCTGCTTAAACTATTTTAAAAATAACAATAACCCAGATTTCCATTCGTGTTCAAAACATATTTCCTCCGTCTAGGATACTGTCTCTTCTGTCCAAGTACGCGCGCTCTCTCCTCATTTCCTCCTATACCCATGGAAATATTATCCCTCTGTCTGCTCTTCTACCAGAGTACATTCTTTTCACGTCTCCTCTTCCCAAGAACAGTCTCTCCATGCCTTTTATACCGCAGGACACACACACTCATCACAGACCGATCTTCACCAACAATTAGCCACATGGCTTGCTTGCCCCGTCATCAAAATACACATCCTTCTATGAAAAAAATCACCCCCCATTCATGTCCTTTTTTTCTCGTGTTTAGGATTCAGATAACAGCTGTTGCTGGTGTCCTGCCCTTGAGTGAGCGCTCATTGTCACTGGCTCTTGTACCTTCTCAATAATTTTACGGTAATGTACATACAATAATGTCATCTATCGTTTTTAAACATACAATATATATTGTATGCTTACATTATTGCTGTATTTTTTTGCAAATTGAGTTAATTATTTTCAGTAAACAACCTCTTGTTCTATAAGCTATTTTGAAGTTTAGGAAAATTATATTAAAAATAATTTGCATGTTATTGTTTGCTCCATGAAGCACTCGGGCTGTTTTGAACTTTGTGTTACAATATACCCCTCCAGTATGACGCATGTTGCCTCCCCCATGTAAGATGTTGCCTCCCCCATGAAGCATGTTGCCTCCCCCATGAAGCATGTTGCCTCCCACATGAAGCATGTTGCCTCCCACGTGAAGCATGTTGCCTCCTCCATGATGCATGTTGCCTCCCCCATGAAGCATGTTGCCTCCTCCATGAAGCATGTTTCCTCCCCCATGAAGCATGTTGTCTCCCCCATGAAGCATGTTGCCTCCCCCATGAAGCATGTTACCTCCCCCATGAAGCATGTTGCCTCCCCCATGAAGCATGTTGCCTCCCCCATGAAGCATGTTGCCTCCCCCATGAAGCATGTTGCCTCCCCCATGAAGCATGTTGCCTCCCCCATGAAGCATGTTGCCTCCCCCATGAAGCATGTTGCCTCCCCCATAAGCATAGCCCCCTCTCCATCCCTCCCAGAAGCCGCAGTCCAGGAAAAGAGAAACATTTTTCTGTTATAGTATAAATTCTTCCATTTTCCTTTCCCAATTAGTTCATAACTTTAGAATTCTTGAGAAAGTATGCCTATCTTTTTGTGTGAAAGAATAATAAATCTAAAGTTAAAATTAAGTGGAGACACGTGAGACTGCAAGCAGCGGCGTCTAACAGTCTGGCTGATCATCCAGGAGGCCTGGTCTGAGACCGGACAGTGGAGACATTGATTCCCGGAACCAACAAAAGGTAGGTAGTCAAAATGTAGAATATCTCACAGTCACATTCGCCAGACCATTAACTGACTCAGAGGTGGCATTATGCCTGCAGTTTTCTCCTCGCCTTAAAAACCTTAACTGGGGGAAAATTGCTTATGAGAAAGACATAAAGAACATTATATGGTTCGTGTTTTATACAACAATACAGCCAGAACCTTTGTCATCCGGTTATGCCTTCATTCTTTGCCATGCCTTCATTATTATTAAGACATGTAAAGAAGTTGCCACTGGGGACGGCACCCCGGCTTTATGGCGTTCAGGTCGCCACTGGGGACGGCACCCCGGCTTTATGGCGTCCAGGTTGCCACTGGGGACGGCACCCCGGCTTTATGGCGTCCAGGTTGCCACTGGGGACGGCACCCCGGCTTTATGGCGTTCAGGTCGCCACTGGGGACGGCATCCCGGCTTTATGGCGTCCAGGTTGCCACTGGGGACGGCACCCCGGCTTATGGAGTTACCGTCACGGTTACGGGAACTGAACGAATTACTATTTTCAATCCATAAACTTCCTTTGTTCCAAAAAATGTCACCCCTTTAAATTTAACCCGAATTGCTTAATAAATTATTTATTTGCGGTGCGTCGCAGTTTTCCAACATGATCTTAGCGATAATACGGTTAATTTGTGGCTGATAACAGTGTTTGGGTGAAACAAAGGAAAGTCGCGCCGCATTACCGCCTATTTATGACGTGAATTAACACCGTCCATTGTCTCCGAGTTGGGCCGGGCGGCGGAGCCAGATTGGGACAAATCCGCACATAATAATGGTGTCCCTGTATCTTCAAATTGCGCAATAAAGTCCGATTGAGGTGGCCCGGTAGGTTTTGTTGCAACTGCTACGATTACCGCCACATCTGGAGGATTACCCAACTTATAAACAACTGCCAACGACTCTCTCGCCT